TTCTGGCCAGCTGGGAATCGAATCGGTGCTGCAGAGGCCGTGGACAGCTTCACAGCACTGTGCTCAAGCCGCTGCGCCACCTGGGAGGCTGTCAACCTTTTTTAGACTTATACATAAGTTAAATCACATGTTTTCTTTATGGTTTGTTTCTTTAGCATAATGACGTCCAGTTTCATCCATGTTTCTGCAAATGGCTGAATGATATTCTTTTTTTTTTTTTTAAAGATTTATTTATTTATTTATACAAGCACTGGGTACAATCAGAAGCGCGGGAGGGTGAGAGAATTCACCAGAGCCAGAGCGGGGAGCAGAACAGACAGATTGACAAAATACACTGCCGAGGGGAGCAGCGCGCATGGCAGGAGAGGTCTGCACGCCATGCGGGACTCTCGCCGGCAGCAGTAGATAGAACCAGAGCTGCAGAAGCTGTAGGCAGCTTTGCAGCCCAGCGCTCAATCCCTGCACCACCGGGGAGGCCCTGAATGATATTCTTTAAGGTTAAATAATATTCCATTGTATTTATTCCCAATTTTTTTTAAAGACTTATTTATTTATGCATACAATAGCTGGAGTGTGGGCCAGAGGTACGGGAAGATGAGAGGATTCATTCACCAGAGATAGCGTGAGGAACAAAACCAGCAGATTGACTGAAATACATTGCTGAGGTGAACAGTGGGCGAGATAGGAGAGGTCTGCTGCGCCATGTGGGTCATCTACCTGGCTGGGGATCAAACTCATGCTGCAGTGGCTGCCAATAGCTTTATAGTGTTGAGACTTAATCCCTGTGTCACCAGGGAGGCCCCTATACCATAATTTCTTTATCCATTCTTTCATTAACAGTTAGGTGGTTTGCAAACTTTGGTTATTGTGAATAATGCTGCAATAAACACAGGCATGCACGTGCACAGATATTTAAGGTATAATTTCATTTTCTCTGAACGTATATTCAGAAATGAGATGCTGGATCTTATGATTGGTAGCTTTTCAAAGGATGTCCTAAGTCAGAATCATTTGAGTTGGAAACTGAATACTTGTTTTTTAAAAGCTCCCACTGTCAGTCATGTGAGCTACATGTAACAATTTTGGTTGTGGTAGTCCACTTATTGCTGATAATTTGTTAATGTGTAACATAATTTTTTGCATATATAATAGGACTACTAATAAACTATGAACTCAGGATTTTATTTTATTTTTAACTTATATACTTCTTACATTGCTGTTCATTCTCCTCTCATGTGTAATCCCCATAAAATTCCCACCCGTGAACCCATGAAGGACACCCACGAACCACCACCACGGTCTCTTGTGCTCTTCCCTCCCACGTTTTGGTCCCCAGCTGTGAATCTGGGATTTTAGAATAAGAACTTATCAATGTCTTACGATAATATATTCTAAATCCTCCTTTAAAAATCACCTTCCTTACAGATTTTAAATTGAAAAGTCATTGAATTTATTCTCTAGAAAAGATTACAATTAGATGTAATTTTAGATTTTCTGTACAAATCATTTATAATTTCTATGAACTGATCATCAAAATGGCCAATAAAATTTCAAGTGTGAAGACAACTTACAGAAAACAAAAATAAAACCTTATATTTATTTATTAAATATTTATCAATCTGAAAACCGAGCCATTGGGAAAAAGAGTGGGGAATTGGTTTTAAAATCTATACATGGAAGATGGACTATATGACTATATGTGATTATCAAATCTTAAGGACTCTTGGCTACATTAATAGTTTTATTCAGATATGTAGTAATCATGCCTGGATCATTGTATTTAATTCTGGCTGCCACCGTTTGAGGCATCTGGAACAAGTGCACTATATGCAGAGGACACTAACCAATAACTGATGCATATAATAAAACTGAATCAAGGAAGAAAGCTTTGAGAAAGTTGATTGTTGTGGAGAAGAGTAAATTTGAGAGACAAAATTATATCCCTACATGTAAATGATCTTTGTGTTCATGTTAAAGAGGTCCCCCAGATGAAGCAGGTCTGCAGAATAAAATTGTCGTGAGGTACATTTCTGTACAATATAGGTAGAATTACTTAGTGATTATAGCTGTCTCAAAACAAAGTAGATCTTAGTCCCTGGTTACATGGAAGATCTAAGCAAAGGTTAAAAGAACAACTAACATGTTGAAAAGTAGTGCCCATTGTGAGAATTGGGCTAGTTAGTGTCTAAAGTACCTTCCAACCTTGAACCTATACATTCCTGTCATTTAGGCATAAGGCACATACTGGGTATGATAGTTAAATTTAAATGCCGTCTAAAAAATCTATGACATGGAAGTAGATTCATACTTCAAACAAATAGGCTATTTGAATAATAGTTTGTCTATATCACAAGGCATTTATGATCATAAATAGGCAACACTAAAAATAGATTTTAGAAATAATGCTTAATTTTATAAAGTTTGCATTTTATACCAAAGGGATATTCAGGTTATATATTTACAGGCTATACCTGTGACAAAACAAGTTTTTTGGTTGCAACTTTCATCTTTAAATGTGAACACTGTTAAAAGACCAAAATAAATGTTCCTTGTTTTATGGCAAAACCAAGGACTAAATCATATCTGTTTATACAGTTATAATGGACTACAATGTTTTATGTGTAAAATCTGTTACATAGATGTTATCATCAGGCTCTAATATCAGCCATTGAATTCACTTTTGGTTTATTCTTTCCCATTAACATATGTTATAGGTTAGTTAAAGAAACACAAATTTCAAAGGAGCAAAAAACTACTCATTCATTGTGCCACTGTCTGGGGACATTTCTGTGAACACCTGGGTGCATTTCCTTCCTGTCTTTTCTGGCTGCACATGTTTTGTGCTTGTTTGTTGTACATACTTGTGATCATATTGTATCTGGATTTTGTATCCTTTCCTAAAGCACAGGCTATTTCCTCTGTTTTTTCAAAAACTGGACTATATAATAATCCTCCTGATGAAGTCACTCTTTTTTTTTTAACACCCACCATTTTAAGATCTTTTGGTGAATGGACAATAAGTTCTGTATCTTGAACATAAGGGTGTGCATTGTCTTTATAATTTAGGTTTTACAGAATTTTGAGAAACTGTCATCCAGGTCAAATTTGCAGATATTAAGAAAGTATGTAAGAAGCTGACATCTACTTATCATTTTCATTGTAAAGCCCGAAACTGCTCCACGTCAGAAAGCTTGGCTGTGGTGAGTTTCCCCAAAATTTTAACCATAATATTTTCTAATCAGGAACCTATCATTTTACACTTGATTTCAAGGTGGTTCTTAAATATTCTTATTTCTAACTGCCCAGAGGAGGTCACCTCTGCCCCAATATTCAGCGGCCACATTCCTTCTTATTAGACCCATCTAAGCTCATCCCATAGGCAGGTAGTGCTTTCAAGACTCTATACGATATTCCTAGAATAGCACCCAGCACATAATCAGGGCTATGTCAATGCTTGTTGTAACTATCCCCGTTTCTAGGCAAGCTTTATTGGCTTCTAAGAACAAATCATTTATGTAGACCAAATCATTTTTCAGGTTGAGTGAAGATACAAATCTTACACATGGCAAAAATTGAAGCATAAAAAAGAAAAATGACTAGCATCGAGTGGTTTAATGCTCTATTCCCTCTCTCTCTCTTTCTCAGTTCTGGTTAAGGTGGAGAGGGCTCCCTGAAGAATCTAGGATTGAACTATCGAACAAGGGCAAAGAGAGTGAAAAGGCAAACAAGTAATAAAGCACATCCAGAGGAACACATTTATGAAATCAACCAGAGCAGAAGTAAATATAGCATACAGAACATTGAGGTTTTGTACTTGTTTGTACAGGTAGGTGAAAGATACAGGATAAATTTTGATTTGTTTATTGGTAAAGTGAGAAATATTAATGGAGGAATAAGAACACAGTGCTACAGCAGTTCTGCATGGAGAAACTCTGAAACCTGCTTTCCACTAAACGGTCCTGAAGATCAAAAATAAGGCAAAAAGTGGAGATAAAGGAGAGGAGGTGTAAATATCGTGAACTTCCTCGAATGCCTTATTATTCCTTTAAACCGCGAGGTCCAAGTCTGGATGTTTTCTCAGGTTATTTTTTATGTGGAAAATGTGGATCTTTCTCACAGGGGTAACGTGGCAATTAAGTGAGATGTTTAAAGTGTGCCTATCTAGTGACTGCATCCCTGCAGATTTTCCTATTTCTTTCCTTATACCTCTTAACTCTATTGAAGATGCTGTCAATACAAATCTAATAACAACCACAACATTTGCCATGTACTCAAATTAAGTCATTTTATCTTCCAAGCAATCTTATAAAGTAGGATTGTTACACTCATCTCAAGCGTGGAGTGAGCATCTGGCGGCCTGGCTTCAGAGTCCAGCTCTCAGCTCCTGTTTCTGCCACCGTCTGCTACTAGCCAACTCAGCTTTCAGTTTGCAAACCACTCTCACCAGCTTTCAGTCGCCCAAGACTGTCACCTCCGTTCCCGGGGCCCAGGCGACGGTAATTTTATTCACCCAGCTGGAAGGAGCCCAGCTATGTCCTTCTCAGATTCGCGAACTTTCACCTTGGCCTAGCAGCGAGCGTGCACCACCCTCCCCTTATTTCATTGGCCTCAGGGGTAACCCACAGTGTCACTATGTCAAGTAGCAACCCCGACATTCCCTAATAAGACACAAGACCTCGTGAATCCCTGCGAGCAAGAGCGTTAACTGCACAACTAACCCAGCGTCCGCTCCCCGGCCGCAAGGCCAGGGGCCCTGGGAGGTGCAGCAGGACCGCGCACGGGCTGCAGGGCGCCGAGGGCGCGCGGTGAGCAACCACGCGCGTGCAGGGCGCGGCGCAGGCCCCGCCGGCCGGGCCGCAGAGGGCGGGGCGGCGGAGGAAGGGGCGTGGCCAGGAGCCCGCCCGGCCTCGCCCCGCCCCTTCCCTTCTGCACTCCGGCTCGGCCCTCGCCCCGCCCTCCGGCCCAGCCCGGGGCGCCGCCCCCAGGTGACGTCACTGGCTAGGCCAGCCGGCGCCATTTTGAAAGTGTAGTCGCCTGCCCTGCCGCCGCTGCTGCCGCCGCTGCTGGAGAAAGAGCAAGAGCGGGGAAGCCCCAGAGTGAAATCCACCATCCTGCTGGCTGATCTGCTCGCCCCTCCTTCCTTCTCCCCCGACCCCCGCCCCCTCCCCCCGCAGGTGCCATCCGCCGCCATCCGCCCTCTCTACCCCCCATCCCCAGGTGAGGGGGGTGAGCACAGGAAGCAGAGACCCCGAGGAACCCAGCAGGGTCACCATTTGCAGCGCAACATGGCAGGTAAAGGAGAAATCACCCCCGTCCACTGACACGGCGCCGCTTCCTTCTTCCTCCCTCCATCACCCCCTAGCGACCGCCCGTGCCTCTCCCGGAGCCTCAGGGCGCCCCTCGTATTTCAGGGAATTGGTCGGGGGGTGGGGTGGGGGTGGGGCGGGCTCTGGGGCAAGCGAGGGGTCGCGGGGGAGCGAAATGGCTTTTGAAATGAGGCTGGAACCTCGGCGCGGGTGGGGGTGGGGTGCGCGCGAGCCGTGGGGTAAGGCGTGGGTGGGGCGGCGTGGGGGCGAGGGCAGATTTGTCCCTCCTGCCTCGGAGCCCAGTTTAACCTCCGCGCCCCCCCCCCGCCCTTCCCCGGCTTTTTTTGCGGCTCTTCCTTCGTTTTATTTCCATTTTTTTCTCCCTGCTGCAAGCCTTCTTGGGTGTTTATACGTGTATATTTTGCACCAAGAAGAAAGAGTGCTTTACAAGTTAAAATACAATGGGGGCATATGTGTACGTATAATTTCGAGTCGATAAGCCTGAAATTTTTTGTCTTGAACCCTCTCCTTTGCGTTTCTGACTTAGCCTTTGCGTCCCAAGAGTGCAAGGCCTTTAATACAGCAAGTTGCATGAAAAATGTAATTTAAAGTTTTTCCTTTTTGCATGTTACCTTTTGTGCAGATGTCTTTTTCTCAAAAGGGTTTCAAAGAGTTAGTTAAAATAGTTGTGGAGTTCAGAGATATAAATAGCCAAGGGGAGAGAGATTTAGGTAAGAGCTTGGGGAGGTGGGGGGAAGAGAAGGATGCATACATAGAGAAAACCAGGTTGGAATATTTAGCGAGGAACGGAGGTGAAAAAGAGAAAAAGGTAATTGCTTTGAGGATTATTTTTGTACATTTTGCTGTTGCTGAATGTCTTCCTTCATATAATACACTCAGTTCTAGATCTAGATTAATTTTCTTTCTCCATAGATCCCAGTACATTTCCTTCTTAGTGCTTGGAAGAGGAACAGAAACATTCGGAGACTAAACCAGTCTTATGGGCTTTTAAATATTTAAAAATATTTAGATAAATAATTAAACCATTAAAAAGTTAACATGTTGGATTGACTTATGGTTTGCTGTAAACAAGTTGCTCTTTGCCCTTGCTGAATGATTAAATTAAAATTGTTCGCACAAGATATGACATACTAGCAAGATTCCTTGCAAGGTTCTTTAGATTCTGAGGTGAAGGAAGGGGGAGGTAAAAGGAGCTTTCTGTGACAGTCTGTTCACCAGCATTCATTTTAGTTTCTTTTCCTCTCTCTGGGGTCAGTGATTTACTGGTAATGAAATGCAAAGAAATGGGTGGTGAGTGTTGTGTTTGCTGTATGTGCGCTTTGGTGATAGGGTGTATATGAATCATTACTCCGCACCCAGGCAGGCAGTAATGTTCCTGAAGTTTTTTCTTCGTTCTGTGTTTTATGGTAGTTTAACTTCATTAATGCTTTTTCAGGCTTTTCGTAAACTTTAGGAAAACTCTGTAACTTTTGGTATTTCCTTTTTTCTGGTAGGTCTTGCTTGAATGTAAGGCTTTGCTGTGTTTGAGGGGAAGGGAAAATGGAAGGAAAGTTTTGAACACATGTACAATGAGAGTATATACCTTTGAATATTTTATACCTGGAACCTTCTTTTCTCCTTCCTTTTTTAAAAAAGTGCAATATCAACTATCGGGGGGCTAACCTTTTTCCAAATTAGTGCTCTAGGGTGGTAGATCTATGTGTGGGCAGTAGTACTAGGCTATTAGTATCATGCCAACCATGGATACCATCTCTGTGTTTACGAGAGTAAACATGAATAGAACTCGGTTTTAATTGGTATGTTTTCTTTTTCCAGGAGCTGGAGGAGGGAATGATATTCAGTGGTGTTTTTCTCAGGTGAAAGGAGCAGTAGATGATGATGTAGCAGAAGGTAAGAAAGCATTTAATAATGCAAAATTTGAATATGGAATCTTTTTGAAATCTTGGTTAGTTGAGGATTTGCTTGCAGCTGACGGGGTAGCTTAAGAACATTTTGTGTTTGTTGTCCAAGCAATGGGAGAATAATTTTAAAAGTCACCTGTCTGGAAAATAGTCTCAAATCTCTTTTATTACTTATGCCTTGTTTTATTATTTTCCCCCTGAATTAAATGAAAGGGTCACTGGATGAGGAGATATATGTACATGCATACACCCATACATGTATCACGTATATAGATATCGGTGTATAAAATTGTTACAAGAAAAATCTTAAGTTTCATATGCTGAGGTTTACTTTGCAATATAAATTTCATGTACAAGTAGGCAGTGTTGCATTTTCATATTTGTGCATTGTTTTTTAGATAATCAAATTGGAATAGTTACAATCACCACTTAGCTCGGAAATATTCTTGACCTCATCTTTTCTTTTTGAGGGAAGATTTAGGTTTCTTTGAACTTGCCTACTTGAGAGTATGGTGTTGATTTGCATGTTCTGCGAAGAAATGCTAACTCAAATGATGCATTTTATTGTCTTGTAAGGATTAATTTAAGTGGGTAAGAAAATATCAATGATGTTATTATATAGCTTGTCTTTTAGGGAACTTACTGTACAGTTAAAAGCTGGGTTTGAGCAGTTGAAGTTTTTGTCTTACTTTTTTCCCAAAATTTATTGATGTATTTCAAAAGTTTTGAAGTTTTAAAACTTTGAGGTTGTGCACTCATCTGAGATGGTCTTAAGTGGTGGATGCATTACTTCCCAAAAGTAGTTGCATTATATCATTGTTGAAAAATAAAGTCTGAATTTTAATAATTTTCTGTGTCTTGAATTATAGTAGGAATTTTCCAGCAAAACTCAGATATTAAAATACTTACTTTGAATTTATAAATCACCTTTCTTAGATTGTATTGCCCTTCATTTTAAGATCCCATTTCTGACCTATTTAAAGTACTGTTTGTCTTGAGGATTTTTCCAGGTAATGGTAGGATGATGGCTTTGTGTTGAACCAGTTGAAGACTGTGATTTTTGTCAGTGTCATTCTTAGTGAAGTGTCTGATCAGAATTTGGTGACTCGTAAGGGGCACTACCTGGTGTACATAATGCCTGTGGTGCTTAACGTATAGCATTCTTGTGTTCATTTTCTATATTGAATCATCATCAGTTTTTCAGATGAGAAAGCAAAAGCTTAAAGAAGTTAAAAGATTTACTAATGTTCACACAAATAGTGCAAATCAAGGTTGTCTAGTGAAGCCCATGGTGTTTGTACTTGTTTAGAGAAATCCTAAGTTGGAGGGAGGAGTCATGTGTTACTCATTTTGTAACTCCATTACCTGTTGAGGAGTAGGCACTCAAATATTGGCTCATTAGTTCTGTGCTGTTGTGTAATACTCACCAAGTTAGGAAAGCTATATACTTGTAAAACATTCCTGGATTAAATTCCATTTATTCCCTTTATCAAAGATCTCTTGGGAATATCCTAAATGCTGAGCATTGGCTTAGGAAGTGTCTACAACACAAACCCTACTCTGGAGGAGCTTATAGTTTACTTGTTAAACAGTAAGATCACATGGGCTTTATATAGAAGAAATTGGTGATTCCAAAGGTACCTAACTGAACAAATGATAGTTTGTGGTTTGCATGATAGATCAGTTGTGCTTCACTTCTGCTAATACTCGGTAGTTGCATAATGCTTAGTAGCTGCATTCTGATTCATTAAATAATTTTCTTTTGAGATTTTTGCATGCTGTTTTAATATACAATAAATCCTTAGCCTCTTAACATACAGAGACTTGTGTGTATTTGTAAAAACAAATCTTGTTTTGCTATCTATTCCATACAGATGTATTGTGTATAAAAATCATCCAATTTTCAAAATACCCTGCTATAATTTGGGGTTTTGGGAGGCATAATTTAGTTCGCATGCATAGTCTATTGTATTTACTAAGGGAAGATTTGCTTTTCTGAAATAAAGATTATTAGTATATTTCCCCCTTTAACTTAGGCTGTAATCTCTAATAAATTATTTACATCTGACTCAACTTTAGCTTAGTTTGTCTGTTTTCTGTTAATAATACATCTGTTTCTTTCCCTTCAAAGGCTGTAAATTGTCTCTCCTCCTACGTTCAGTCAGCTGTCATAGAATACCATTTTTACTTTATTCATAATTTCACCTTAGCTCAGGTTCTCAGTATCTCATCAGGATTGCAGTAACTTCCTAAGTGGTTTTCTGCTTCTTGTCCTGTGTTTTGCTTCTAAGTTAATCTTAAATGCAGCCAATTTTTATTTTCCTGAGAAATCTTCAGGCGCTCGTTGTATTTACTGGATTGTGAATTACGTTCAAAATATTTCAACATAGAACATGAGACTTCATCACTATGACCCCTGCTTCTCTAAGTGTTTGCTAATATGGTTCGAGAACTTGCTGAATGGATGCTGTTCTTCAGACAATTCCCTGTACACTCTTACTTCTGGTCATTGTTTTTTGCCTCTCCCACCTTGGAATGCCTTACATTTGTCCCACAGTTCTTCTCTCATGAGAATCCTACTCACCTTTCAAGTCATGCCTGTAACCTTTTTATTGATTGCTCTTTTGGGGGAAATACTTATTTTTTTAAAATCTTTCTTCATAGCATTTTGTGTATCTATCATATTTAGTACCTCAGAACTCTGTAATGTAAGCTTAGTGCAGGATTAATGTATCTTTGTGCTCTGCGCCCTAAATAAGCCATGTTTAGAACAGTGCCTGGTTCACAATAGCTGTTCAGTATTTGTTGAATGAAGTAATAGAAATGTTACTGTTGTTACTGTTGTTATTAGGTTGTGAAGGGGAAAGAAAACAGGTGAAAAGGTGGCATTAGTGAAATGATGTACTGGAAAGCATGGATTTATTTACTTGGCAGTCTTTATAACTGATTGATGATGACATCCAGCTACATAGTAGTGGGGAGACCTTGGGTTTTTATCCTAGTGACAAACTAATATATGTCACTTTGAGTAAGTGACACTTCTTGGGGTTCCTGTATTGTAGCTGTAAAATTACAGAACTGAATTAGTTGATAGCTGTTGTTTCTTATGCTGTAATCGTGTTGATTCACAAAGATGTTAGAAAGAAACATCCCAACATTATTACTACTGGTAAGGTAAATTGCTTGGGATGTTGGAGTCTTTCGGGGCCTTAATAAAAAAAATAAGTCTTTCCTGGACTTAGTCATTTAAGGTTCACAAATTTTTAAGTGCATTACAAAATTTAAGAGTTTTGACATTTGATGAAATACTCTGATTGCCTTTTGGCCCATGTAAGACCCTTCCAGGACATTTACAGCCTATATTGGGATAGTTACTCTATGCACAGCTCTCTTCAGGACCTCTAAATAGTTTGTCTTTATATATAGCTACTTGTCTGGGAAAAGGGTGAGGCATGAAAATCTCTAACATCGTGATGTTCTCGTCCATTTTTCATTTTAATCTTCTTGGTAGCAATAATAACATTTTATCATTTTATACTTTTAACTTTTCCTTTATTGTCAACTTACTCATGACAAAGTAGGTAAGCACAGGCTCTGGTGCAACGAGGGCTGCATGGCTTGAATCCTGCTCAGTCATTTTCTAGCTGTGTGATTTTGAGCTGTTAATTCACCTCTTTTTTCCTGTTTTCCCTTCTATAAAACCCGGTTTTATAATGTTGTTTTGATGATTAAATATACACAAAACAGAGACCTGGCATAAAGTAAGAGCCTTGTAAGGATTTAGCTGTTGTTACATGGGGGAAATATATAGCAAGTAAGGACTGTGGGAGATTGTCTTTAAAGGCTTCTAAATTCTCAGCCAGTGAAGAAATAGTATGTGTGTGTTTCATACATATTCTTTGATTTCACTGATATAAAGTGCAAAAAAACAAAACGCTGAAAGTAAACCATAGATTTAGAGACAAAGCTGATGAAGCTCTAAAAAATAGCTAGGAAGTGGTTTTATGTTACTTTTAAACCCTGGGAGGGAGTTGTGATTGATAGGGGATCTTGACCTGACTGTAATTGTACAGATGTTTTTAGTAACTGATTAACCTGGACGTGTTTGGTTTGATTTTCGTTTTCTTCAGTTGTTAGATTTCACAATTAAAGAGGTTTTTTAAAAATCCAGTACTCTGTGAAGGGTTTAAGTGAAAAATGCAGTTCCTCCCTCACCTACTCACCAATCCCTTCGCCATTGCCTAAAGGTAATTACCTTGAACTCTTCTAGCTTAAATTCCCTGGTGCTTAATTATATATTTTTGTGAATAAAATGATAATACATTTATTTCTTGTCAATTTCAGACATAGCCACTTGAGTCCTTCCCTAGCACGTGAAGATTTGTTGTTTGCATTATAACCTCCATTATCCGCCCCACCATACCCCAGTGTTGTTACGACCATGTGGATGCTTACTACTGAATCAGTGTTGCTCTGCAGTGTTGCTTCTTATGCATCCTTCTCCGCCCCCCCCCCCGAATTTGTCTAGTTCACTTTGGGAAAAAAAATTATTTTGGAAATTAAAATGTTGTGCAATGTAGGTGCAATAGTGTAATGAGCCCCCAGCGCCCTGTATCATAAACCTGTGACAATGCTGCTGCATTTATACTTGCTTCATTTGACTCCTTCCCAACCTTTTGTTTTTTGGCAATAGAAATACTGATTTTGTTTTAAAAATCTGGATCAACAAACTAGAAAACCAAGTTCATCATTTTAAAGTGAAACAGTAAAGACCTTTTCACAGTGTTTTTTGTGGTAGCAATTTTAATGTTATTTTGTTTGAATTTTACTTGTTGAAATAAATGATTAAAATTCAATTACATGTGGATAATCTGAAGTGTGTAGTTTTTTTAAGCAAACAAAACAATTATAGGCCATTGAGATGGTTAGTTACTAGTGTGCATTTTTACTAGTTTTAATATTTAGTATGATTAAATTTTGTGTTCATTA